CCAGAGATGGGAGTTCAAATCATTCCCACAGGAGTAAAAGGACCTCTTCCCCCAAGGAACAGTAGGCTTATTATTGGGACACAGTTCTTCTACTCTAAAAGGACTTATGATAAGTCCTGGGGTAATTGATCCTGATTATGAAGGTGAAATACAAATTATAGCCAGTTCTCCAAAGGGTATATCAGTAATTTCACCAGGAGATAGAATAGCACAGTTATTAATAATACCCCGCCTACATGATAAATTTTCCAGTAGTACTATAGAAAGAGGTTCCAGGGGATTAGGCTCCACAGGTGTAGATTGGGCTATGCTTTTTTTAAATTTAGATTCTCGCCCAATGCTAAAACTAAATATTCAAGGACATGAGTTTAATGGACTACTGGACACAGGTACTGACCTTTGCATCATATCTTGTCAAGAATGGCCAAAACATTGGCCATTACAACAAGCCACTCAAATGCTTCAAGGCCTAGGAGTGGCAACTAATCCCCATAGAAGTGCAATGGTATTAGATTGGAAGGATCCTGAAGGATGTGAAGGAACTATACAGCCATATGTATTGGACCATTTTCCTATAAATTTATGGGGATGAGATGTCCTAGATCAATTAGGTTTGACATTAACAAATAACATCAATCCAAATGTGACCACTATTATGGCTAGACAAGGTTTTAGGAAAGGAAAAAGATTAGGAGAAAAAGGACAAAGTATAGTGGCACCAATACAAATAGATCAAGAAATAGATAGACATGGATTGGGTTTTCAGGAGGTGTCACTGAGACTTACTTGGAAATCAGAAAGACCAGTATGGGTTCCTCAGCGGTCCCTTATTAAAGAAAAGATACAAGCAGCCCATGACCTGGTCAAACAACAATTAGCGGAGGGACATATACAACCTTCCATATCTCCCCATAATACTCCCATTTTTGTCATTAAAAAGAAATCTGGCAAATGGAGATTATTGTAAGATTTAAGTGCCATTAATAATGAGATGGTTATTATGGGACCTGCTCAATCGGGGATTCCCCAATTGTCTGCTTTGCCAAAAACCTCGTATATTTTAGCCATAGATATTAAAGATTGTTTTTTTTTTCAATTCCAATTCATCCTGAGGATAGTCCACGTTTTGCATTTACTATCCCTGCACTAAATCATGAAGGTCCTGATCAGAGATATGAATGGAAAGTACTCCCTCAAGGGATGGCTAACAGCCCCAAGTATGTGTCAAATTTATGTTAACAAAGCAATCCAGCCACTTAGAAATCAAAATCCTGAACTACAAATGTTTCACTATATGGATGATGTATTATTAGCACACAAAGATAAAAACACATTGGTAGAATGTTATGCCACACTTACAAACCTATTAATTATAATCTAGAGATAGCAATAGATAAAGTACAATTAAATTTTCCAATTAATTATTTAGTAGTTCTATTATCCTCAACCATGGTCCATCCACCAAAAATTCAAATACGAGTAGATCCACTCAAATCACTTAATTACTTTCAGAAGTTATTAGGAGACATAAATTGGATAAGGCCTTATCTAGGCATACCAACAGGAGAGTTAGGACCTTTATTTGATATCCTGAAAGGTCCATCAGATCCAAAATCACCCCGCATGTTAACACCTGAAGCAAGAAAGGCATTAAAAATCATTGAATCATATATGGAAAATATGCATTTGGATATAATTGATATAAGTTTGCTCTTATTATTTATTGTACTACCAACAAAAAATATTCCTACAGGAGTATTTTGGCGAAAGGTCCATTATTGTGGATACATTTATCTTATTCTCCTAACACTATTCTTACTAGGTATCCTGAGGCTGTAGGATAATTGATACTTAAAGGAATAAAAGCAGCAAAGAGAGTGTTTGGAATTTCTCCCAATAGAATTATTACTCCATATACTATGGATCAAATTGATGAGTTAGCTAATGAGTTAAATACTTGGGCAATAGTCATGTGCAAATCTAATATTTCATTTGATAATCACTTACCATCTAACCCTTTGTTGTCTTTTTGGTCTTCGCATCCTGTAGTTTTTCCAAAAATGACAAGAAAAACACCTATCTTGAATGCTCCAAAAATATTCACTGATCGGTCAAATAATGGTACAGCAGCAGTAGTTACCCCTGATCAAACTTTTACATTTTTTAGTACCCAAACAATCAGCTCAAAAGGTAGAGCTTATTGCAGTATCACAAGCTTTTGTGATGTTTAAAGATTCTGTATTTAATTTATTTTCTGATAGTCAGTATATAGTTAATGCTATAGTATCCCTTGAAGATGCTGGTAGGATTTTCCCTTCCTCTACTGTATTCTCTTTGTTTTCCACTGTACAAAGTCTAATCTGGGACAGAAAAGATCCATTCTTTATAGGACATATCAGGGCACATACAGGATTGCCTGGAGCCCTTAGTTTGGGCAATGATTTAGCAGATAAAACTACACATGACATACATATTTTCCCTACATTTGAAGAAGCTACAAATTTTCATAAAAGGTTTCATGTTAATGCTAATACTTTACAAAAGCATTTTAAAATAACTAAGGAACAAGCCAGACATATAATAAAACAATGTCAAAATTGTGTGACCTTTTTACCACAAGTTAATCTTGGAGTCCATCCTAGAGGACTGATACCTAACCATATTTGGCAGATGGACGTCACATACTTGCCAGAATTTGGAAAATTACAATATTTGCATGTTACAGTTGATCCTTCTTCTGGATTTTTGATGGGCTCCCTTCATGCCGGAGAAAAATCTAAAGATATTATAGCTCATTGCTTACAAAATTTTGCCACTGTGGGCGTTCCAAAACAGTTAAAAACAGATAATGGCCCTGGCTATACTTCTACCTCTTTTAAGCAATTTTGCTCATCATTTGGCATTACTCACATAACAGGAATCCCATACAATCCACAGGGACAAGGCAAGAGCTCATCAAACTATTAAAATGTACTTATTAAAGCAAAAAGTGAATTTGGAAGGGGTATATATCCCTCAAAGATAAACTTAAAATAACCCATTTTACTCTAAACTTTTTAAATTTGGATTCATCAGGGCTTAGTGCTGCAGAAAGGCATATGTGTCCAAAAAATGTACATAAGCCTAAGGTACTTTGGAAGGATATTCTAATAGGACAATGGAAAGGTCCTGACCCAGTGATTGTCTGGGGTCGGGGGTCTGTTTGTGTGTTTCCACAGGGAGAACAGCAGTTGATTTGGATTCCAGAGAGACTAACCAAAGCGATTTCTACAGACCAAAAAGAAGATGATTTGGCTCAAATCCATAACAGCTGATATCCAGAACTCTGGTTTGGCTATCCTTACATCTGTGACAGTGGTTCTCCCACACCAGGAAGCTAATGAATAATGAACACCATTAAGGCCTATTTCAGATGTAAGAAACCTTGGGGCTTGCTTGTGGGAATACCTTCAGACCCATAGGCAAGTTACAGGAAAAAGGATGGGATATCAAAAGAAGAGTCAAACCCAGGTGGTAACCAGGATGCTTTTTTCAATCTATTTTATTATTGCCCTTTCCCACATCTTGAAGTTTTATTTTGTTTTTTGAGCTCATATAGACCTAGGTTAATGTTTTTCTGATCAGTTTTATTTTTTGAATGTGGAGTTTTTAAACATTGCAATGGAGATTTCACCTGTGAAAAGCTACAAGGCTTTTTCTATTATGTGTTGTATGTATTGTGTTATGTGTGCACACTTGTGTTATGTGTTGTTGTCTGTATATGCGTGTGTCCATATATCATATATGAGGAGCGCTCATGAAAAAATGGATCGAAATATTTTTTTTTATTCACTGATTTAAACGGTTTAATTTAAATTTGGTAAACAGCTGTTGAGGATTGTTTTAAAATGTGGTTAACAGATCTGTTTGTTTACTTTCACCTTTCCTTTTCATTATATCCAATTGTATTCAGGATACTAAATTGTTTAGAAAATTGCCTTTTTTTAGTGCCCGCTAGAATATTACATAATTTTTTCTTAGCCATCATTGCCAGAATTCCTATCTTCATCCCAGTGCCGGTGAAGACATCTTTTAGAGCATGACTTAAAACCAAACTATAGCTTCTGCGATAGCTATCACAATAAACTGTATAAACTGATACATCAGTGAACAATAACTCAACAAGTGATGCTCAATCAAGGAGTCGATTTACTTTTGGAGGAAATGGATATATTAATGGATTCCTCAGCTTTGAACTGCTTGCAAGACTTGCCTGGACTATGTATCACTTGTATGCATTGTGAACTATGTGTTGGTGTAGTGAATTGTGGTAGTGCCGGGGTATCTTTGCTGAATATTTCATCGGTGGTACAAGTTTTCTAAAACGGGCCGTCAATTGGCTTGGTGTCATGGCATTTTGTATCCTCCCCTTTCTGCTTGTAGCAGGTTGTTTATGGTGTTTGTGTAAAAACTACTATCCACAAGTATGGCTAAATGCTGGGCTGGTAGTCAGTGACGGGTAAGATCCAATTGCAGTGGTAGCAACCTAAGACAGGAGGCTGACGCCTGAGGTCAGCTCATCCGATGATGGGTAAGGACCATATGTAGTATTGGACAACCTAAGACAGGCACGGTCCCTAAGCCACATACTTGTTGTTTCATTAAACAAAAGGGGCGAGATGTTGAGAGCCACGGCCAGGTCAAGATGGTGCCTGGCATTTTGCCAGAAGGGGCGGCTCCTGCTGCCTCGGGTGCCCACCACTTTTGAGTTCTCGTGGAGTTTTCGTTGAGTTCTCGCGGAGTTTTTGTTGAGTTCTCATGGAGTTCCCGTTGAGTCTCGCAGAGTTTTTGTTGAGTTCTCATGGAGTTCCCGTTGAGTCTCGCGGAGTTCGAGTGGAGCTCGCGGGGGTTCGGGAATAAAGTTCGTTCCTGCTTGAATCTACAAGTGGTTCGTGACCTCCTGGTTGTTTGTGCCCAGCCAGACTGTGGCAATAATTTGCACCCTTTGGCTTCTCTTTCAGCTGATGTAGCCCAACAGTTCCAGTTTGCTGTGCGAGTTATTGGCAGCAACTTTGCCCCAACTGTTGAAAGAGATGAATTTCTGGTAGCTGAGAAAATCAAGAAAGAACGTAAGTATTTTTTTTTTTTTAAGTGTTACATGCTGGCTTTTGAAACGAACATGTTCTGAGTTTTGGAACCACAGCCAACCCATGGCTTTTCTCTTCCGTGACAGAACATGGGGGGACTTGTTGCTTGCTGTCACTCCTTTCACATGATTTGTGTGTGTAACTGAATATCTAGATTCATTTATTAATATGAAAATTAACAAGCTGTTTTGATTTTTATTTTAAAAATTGACTATTGTGTTTTACTCTAAAATGATGAAATATCGCTGTGTATCTTAACAAAATGTTTTGTAAGGGTAGTTTTTAAGTCAGGTAAACTGTCATGAATGTTGTACTTTATTGTCCTTAGAATTTAGGATTCAAGGTATTTTTACTTTCCATCCTTCTTTTCAGGTAGGTATTATTAACTAGTTAAGTTGATGATAGTTTGCCTCACTGCTAATTAATATTTGTAAGTAAATAGACTCTAAATGATCCCATTGTTTCTGTTTAGCAATTTTCACATAAATGCTTTGACTCCAGCCTAATATTTTCCATATTTTATAAGTATCAGAGAGTTTTTCAGAGCCAAAGTGTCACTCCTTTGTGTTGTTTTAGCATAGATGAAATAGTGGGTTTTGGCGTGTGATGAACATGCCTGATTTCTTTCCTCTCTTTTCAGTTATTCGGCAAAGGAGAGAGGCAGATGCTGCATTGTTTTCAGAGCTCCACAGGAAACTTCATTCCCAGGTACGCGCAGGTGGGAAGAAGCTGCGTTGGCAGGTGTGGCACTCATGGTGAGAGTCAGCCCATGAGTGGGGAGGCCTTCCTAGTGGACGGAAATACTTGGACATTTTGGTGGTATCACAGCAAGCTTTTCTATGATCATTAATGACTTAATTGTAATAATGTTCCCTGTATTTTTTTAATATTTATTTTTTATCTGTAGTTAGACACAATACCTTTATTTTATTTGTTTTTATGTGTTGCTGAGGACGAACCCAGGGCCTTGCATGTGCTAGACAAGTGGTCTACTGCTGAGCCCCAGCCCCTTTCTAACACCCCCTGAGTGAATTTTAGCTGGGTTTCATGTGAAGTTGCTTATGAAGATGAATGGAGCTGGACTGAAAAGGACTCAGAAGGCTCTAGGGTTGTGTCATGGTCTTAATGATGCTCTGAGCAGGCATGCTGGTCCACACAGCAGTAAAAGCTCCCCTCTGATGCACTTTGTTGTGTCCTAATTTGTACCTTTATAGGGAATTATTTAAAAAATTTTGAGTGTTTTGTGATTGGTACTGACTCTTGAAAATTAATGGTTTCTCTAATCTGATATATATATATATATTTTAATATTTATTTTTTAGTTTTAGGTGGACACAACATCTTTATTTTTTTATTTTTATTTTTAATGTGGTGCTGAGAATCGAACCCAGTGCCTCATGCATGCCAGGCAAGCACGCCACATCCTCAGCCCCTAACCTGTTATTTTTATGAAAGACTTTGCCAATAAGATGATTGAATGAGAGGACTGGGTGTAGCTCAGGGGTAGAACTCTCTCTTACTTATGCATAAGGCCCTGGGTTCAATTTCCAGACCTGCAGGGAAAAAAAATTATAGGTGAGATTTCTGACTATAAAGGAACTGAGTTCACTAGCTTTCTCTGTCCTTTTGTAGAACAAAAAGTGAGTTCAGAGAAGTTTAATGCTTTGTTTCACAAATGTGAAGTTGAAACGACACAAATTGTGAAGTTTGGCATAATGTGACTAGTAACTAAACTCTTATTTTTGAATCTTAATCTCTCTACATATATTCTGTCCTAAGTCAAGCCTAAATGTATGTGCTGTGTGAGCATTTTAATTCCAAGAGGGTATCTCAGAGAGGGTGGTTGTGCCCTTAGCACTTGGTTTGTTCAGGATAAACAGAGAGACAATAGGGTGGGAAGGTGTTCTCATTCCTTAATTCAGATCATTTTACTTGGATTCACGGTTTTAAGTGTACTCTTTCTTCTTTGATAACATTTACAAAGTGAGAAATAGGAAATTTTTTTGTACATGCATTTCTAGACAGATTGTTTCTAACAGTGATATTATTTGTTTTTCTTAAATCTTTTTTTTTTTTTTTTTTTAAATAATTACTTCTTGGTGTTGGGTGTTAGAAAGATGTACTATCAGGTATCACGTTCCTGAGATGCTTAGCCTTGCTGGGATCCCCACCTGGAGGATCTCATCTTGTGAAACCTGTGTATCTGTTGATATAGGCCACTGGAAGAAAATATGTTCAGGAACTTTGTGATTTAAAGTGGTGGTTTTCCGTTAGTTACATTCTATATGACAGTAGAATGCATTTTGACATATTATACATAAGTGGAGTATAATTTCTCCTTTTTCTGGTTGTACATGGTGTAGATTCACACTGATTGTGTAGTCATATATGTACCTAGGGTAATAACATTTGATTCATTCTACTGTCCTTCCCATACCCCCTCCCCTACCTTCACTCCCTTCTGTCTAATCCAAAGTATCTTTACTGCCCCCCCCCTCCCATTGTAAGTGAGCATCCACATATCAGAGAAAACATTCTACCTTTGGTTTTTGGGATTGTCTTACTTCGCTTAGCATGATATTCTCTAGCTCCATCCATTACTGGCAAATACCATAATTTCATTTTTCTTTAAGGCTGAGTAATATTCCATTGTGTATATGCATTCTACTGTCTTGTATAACTAATGAGAATAAATTAAAAAGTAAAATAGTTGTTTCCCAGAATTTTGTTTGGAATTTGATGTTTGTTTCTTTCTAAACATCAATATTCTGAAATAATGACTGCCTTCCTAGGGCTAGCCCAGAAAACTAACTTGGGTGATTTTTTTACATTGTGTGGCTGAAACATAAAAAATACCAGGAGATGGTAGCATAACACTAGTCATTCAAGTGCAAAGTAGCCATCCCATCTTTTTTCTAAAAATATCTGGCTCCAAAGTACAAATGTTGGTATTTTTTCTATCCTGTCTTCTCCGTGTGGGACCCTCTTCTGCATTTGCTATGCCTGCCATGGAAGGAAAGTCTAAAGTACAGCTTGCTGTTGTGGTTTTTAGCTCTAGAGAAAGGAGGGTCCAGGTTTGGGGTGGGGACGTGGGACCCTGAGTGGGTATAGGTGTGACTGGCAAGGAAGGGCTGAGGACAGGGGAGTGGCTTGCTTGGGGAATAGAAGCACACTGCAGCTGGGACCAGGCAGGAGGAGGCCTCGGTGGGGGTGGGCGCTGCCCCGCAGGACGCTACGCCAGCCATGCTGGTTCTGGTGGGGCAGCTGCTCTGGTGTTCCCAGATCTTGTGGTGTCTGACACATCTCGTTTAAAATCTCGTTTACACGCAGCCCCTGAAGCTTGATGCCTGAATCGAGGCCTCTTGGCTTCTGGAGTCCGCGGTGGCAGGGGTAGTTTAAAACATCCTTGCTAGAGCTGAGACTGTTTATGTTTGCACCACCAGGTCCCTTGCTTTCTGCCCTCTGGCTCCAGCTGGAGGTGGCTGAGGCCCCAGCCAGAGTGGGGAGGATGGAGGCTGTGCCGAGCTTCCTGGCCCATGGCTTGGCTGTCTTCCTGCTCCTGTTTCCTAGTTACTGTCTTACTCAGTATACATCAGGTGCTCATTAGGTGCTTCTCAGTAGCTGACCCTGGCTGTTTGACACCTGCTCTTCTCTGTTGAAGCTGTCAGTCACGGGGTGCAGTGGCACACGCCCGCAGTCCCAGTAACCCCGGGGGTGGGGGTGGGCTGAGGCAGGAGGGTCACAAGTCTAGGCCAGCCTGGGAACTTAGTGAGACCTGCTTCAAAATACAAAGAGCTGGGTGCAGCTTAGTGGGAGAGCACCCTGCATTCAGTCCCAACACCCCCTCGCCCACTGTGGTTTTTCCCCTCTGTTCAGGAACCCCTCTTTGGGAGAGCGGGCGTCTGGACCTGCTCTTCGTTGCAGAGGAAGGGCTTTCCTCTGGCCATGCCCACTGACACCTTCAGTTAGATGTTTCTTAGGAAAGGCCACTGGAACTTGCAGCCAGGCATCCTCAGAACTGAGCGGGGCACGGTTCCTAGTTGTGCCTCTGGGCATCCCTGCGCTTTCTCTTTTGTGTCCCCTCTCTGGTGTGTGCTAACTCTTAGGCTACTGCCATCTTGACTCCCGAGGCTTGTAGGCTGTTCCTCTCAAGTCATCCTCTTTTGGAGTCGGGCAGACCTGGGTTTGAATCCTGGCTGCAGCATTGTGATGTAGGTGGATTATTTGGGCTTGCTGTCTGTGTTTCTCTCATTTGTGGAATGAAGTGAATACATTCTGTTGTGGCAGGAGGTGTTGTAGGTGAAGTACCTGCATCCTGTGGACCATCTCTAAATGGCAACTGCTGCTATTGTCTGACTGCTCCAGAATCTTTAGAGAAGTGGGATCTGGGGGAGAGGTTGCCTGAGTGCTAGTGTTGGCCTGAGCAAGCCCCTGAGCCCCAGGTCAGGTGCCCTTCAGGGGGTAGTGTGCTCCCAGGTGTGTGTTCCCAGGTGGCTGCCGTCTTCCTGCTGCCTCTAGCGCCTTGTGCACCCCTCCGTGAAGCAGGGTGTGCTCCCTGCAGGAGGCCTCCGCAGGCTCCTGTGTCCTGCTCAGAACTCTTCACCCCTTCCAGCTTGCACTCTGACTACAGTTCCCGTCTCACCTGAGTGGCCGCCTTTCTGAGAGCCCTGGGTGCTGTTGTGTAATCCGCCTGCTTGCTGTGTAACACAGGCTGAGACTCCATCAGGGCCGGGGCTCTTTCTTTTTCTTGTTGCTCAGCTGGGGAATTGGTTCAGTTTCTGGAAAATGTTTATGTAAATCAGTTTTATAAGTTAGTAATTTAAATACCTGGGATGAGCTTATTCTTCAAATAAATTTTCGGGAATGTTTTATATAACAAAGAGTCTGCATGCTGCAAGTGTTCATGGTCTGGCAGTGGGTCCCGTAGATGAAGGTGTCTCTGTCTAGCCTGTGTGTCCAGACGTGAGGCTCTGGAACAGAGGAGGTGCTGTGCACATTTGAGGTGAAGCAGGTTGAGGTTTGGCTGCGAACGGGGTTGAGGACCAGGATGAGTGGAGCAGGACTGGAGAAGAATGGGGCCCAAGTGCCAGCCCTCGTGGGGACATGGGGCCAGTGATCCTAGCAGCCAGGTGCTGCGCACAAGGTCCGCATGCTCCTGAGGCTTCTCACACTTCAGACCTAAGCGAGACATTGATAAAGAAAAAACAACGCGTGTCTTTTATGATGGCATTTGTACTATGATCACTGTTTGGGAGGTTCTTCAGATTTTTTCAGAGGAGACAATACTGCTATTCAGAAGTAGGGTAATGTCAAGATTCGTTCTTATTGGGAACTTTGGAGTTTGTTAGCATGGTTAACATGGACCCAAGGATGTGATTCGGGAACATTATCTCCAGCTTCTGATGGTAGCTGTACTGATGACATGTGAAATGAGTACAGAGTGACGTCACCAGGGGAATTTTAAAATGCTTTTCTATTTTGGAAATATATTTAGGAGAGAGGAAAATAAAACTGAAAATTATATGAAATAGTTCTTTTAGTATTAATTTTTTTCTTAACAGGGAGTTTTGAAAAATAAATGGTCAATACTCTACCTCTTGCTGAACCTCAGTGAAGACCCGCGCAGGCAGGCAAACAAGGTGAGTGTCCCTGGTGTTGGGACGGTCTGTCAGGTTCGGAAGGAATCAGCCTCTACAGCTGAGAAGATAGCAGAGAGCAGGGAGCTGGCTTGGCCATTGGGGTCAGGCAGTTTCTTTTTTAAGGGCCTTTTTAGTCAGTGTGCAGTTTCCTTAAGCTCTATTTTAGGATTATGTCCTTCTCCTGTAACAGTGTGCAGCGAGCTTAAGTTGTGGTTTTAAGATTGGGCTTTGTGAGTTACCACTTTAGCACAGATGCATGGAAGGCCCAGGGGAGTTCCTTGTGCCTTTCTTCAGGTGTTGGGCACACTCCTCTTGACGTCCCAGTGGGCTTCATGCTGTCACACGGCTCCGTCATGCCTGTGCTGTTTGTGAGAGTGCCCTGGTTCAGTCCAGAAAAACTCGTCCTGCAGACGTGAGAGTGCCCAGGCTGAGGAACGGGGTGGGGTGGCTGCATGTCTCTCTAAAGCCTCGCTGTGCGCTGTGGGCTCGTCACCAGGTGAGGTCCAAGATGCAGCCTGGCTCACGTTTCGCTCAGCCTGGAGTGGGGATGAAGTGTTTGGTCATCAGACGTTGTGGTGGTTGTGGGGCTTTAGAAACTTGTAAAGCTTTGTTAGTTCTGGCTATTAAAAAGCATCTTGCTGAAATTATTTAATAAATGTGAAATTCAAATCTAATTCCAGCAATGGAGGAAGGGGCATGCCAATGCCCTTTCAGGTTTGGGAGAACCCGTCTGTGGTCGCGCATCCCCTCACCTCAGTGCACTTCCATTTCAGGTGTCCAGCTATGCCTCGTTGTTTGCACAGGCATTGCCGAGAGATGCTCATTCCACTCCCTACTACTGCGCCAGGCCTCAGTCCCTGCCCCTGAATTACCAGGACCGGGGCACCCAGGCGGCGCAGAGCTCTGGCAGCCTGGGCAGCAGCGGCATCAGCAGCATCAGCGTGTGTGCCCTCAATGGCCCTGCACCTGCGCCCCAGCCTCTCCTCCCAGGGTAAAGCATGCTTGCACGCACACTCTCCTGGTGTAGGAGAGCTGAGGTGTCCCGGGCTTTCAACCAAGCCTGATATTGCACCATAGGTCGCGTCTTCAGGTCATCACCCTGGCCAGTTGTGTTGGGCTGGTGATGAGTAATACTCAGCAATAATTGATACCGTTGAATTATCCTCAGGCAGACGGTTCTGGCCAAGGTAGTGCCTAGGAGCGGGGAACCTTGGCCCCCCGGGGTTGCACAGCTGTGAGGTAGCCTCTGGAGTGGAACATGCCATCCACTCTGGTTATGTTTTGAGGGAGTGTGAGCTCATGACTGAGAATGAGGAAGGTGCCAGTGTCTTTAATGTGCCTTAAGAGCTTTGTTAAGATCCAATCTTAAGGATGTTTCTTGTGCAAGTAATCAGATGGCTTTGCTTTTTGCTATTGTTCATTTCTGGAAATCTCAGTAAAACAAATGGTCAGAAGTGGGTAATTTTCTAGAACAGTGATCAGGAATCAATATCAGATATATGGCGTTTCCCACATGGGCACAGTAGAATCATAAATTGTTTTGTAAGATGAAAAGTCATGTTCAAGGAATCAGAAGACAGAACATATGCAGCACATGGGTCACACGTGAGCAGTGTTCTCTAGGGGCTCACTACACATCTACAAACAGCCTGCAAGAGAGCGAATCTGAAGTTCTGGTCTGGCCCAGAGTGTAAGCTGACACTCTCATTTGTGTCTCAGGATGTGGAGTGGTTATTGTGATGATTCAGAAAGTCATACAGCTAACTTTTAGAATTAGTCTCTAAGTCTGCAGCTGTGTTCACAGACACAGTCTGAGTGAGTGTTGTTGGCTTCCCCCGTTGAGGACAGGATCAAGCACAGCTGTTCCGGGACTGCCCTTCCCTGTCTGCTTCGAGCAGCCTGCAGGGCTCTGGACCTCCAGCAAGGGCAGCGGAGCTGCTCGTGTCTTGCAGCCCTGGTAGGGGCACTTTTGTTGGGAGTGTCCGAGTGTATGTCGTTGGAAACTTCTGTCAGGTCCTTGGATTTCTAGGAAGCAGCTGTGAAGTGTTCTCAAGTCACTTTGCTACCTTGACCTTTGCAGCTTGCCTTCCATTTCTGCATTTTCCCATCTTCCAAGTTGATTGAAATTGCAATGTCTTTTCCCAGTGAGCACCTTGAGGGCGGGAGGTGATTGGGGCAGGCAGATAGGCGGGTTCCAAGTGTTTAAACCCCTCTGCTCAGGAACTGTGGAGTGAGTGAAAGGTAGTGATCGTGAAGTAAAGTCCACTTCCACTCTTTGGTTGAGAATTCCAAAGTGGTAATTCGTGGGTAATGTGTTTCATGTATTAAAGAGAAATGGTTGGGGAAGAAAGGTGTGTGTGCAGGGGTGGGTCCAAGTGTCCATGGGCTGGGACTGGTTGTGGTGATGTTTGATTGGGTGAAGTCGTGGGGTCTCCCATCTCATAAAAGGGTTAATGTGATTCAGTGTAGCAACTGAAAGGGAATTTCTGGGATGCTTTTCTCCTCAGTGAGTTGCATGGTCACTTCAAGATATAAACCTTACTTTCTTTTTTCTAGACAGTCTCATCAAACTCCGGGAGTCGGGGATTGCCTTCGACAGCAGCTGGGGTCACGTCTTGCATGGACTTTAACTGCAAACCAGCCTTCTTCGCAAACCCCTCCCTCAAAGGGTGTCTCTAGTGCTGTTTCTCGCAACCTGACGAGGTCGAGGAGAGAAGGAGAGACGGGTGGTGAGTGAGGGGTCTAGCAGCTCTCTTCCCTCCCTCAGCACCTCTGTTCCCAGGGGTCTTTCCTTTGTGTCGTGAAGGTGCCTGATCGGGCCCAGCATCTTAGGGTGTCACCTCATGTCCCCTTTTTTGTCCTGCAACCCTCTGCTTCTCAGCCAGTGATCACAGTCCTTTCTCATCCTGCTATCCCTCCTGGGAAGCCTCATCAGAGCTCTTTTCCTGTCTCATTCTGTTCTTCCTGGGCTGGCCACTCGGACCTCCCCATCTGAGATACATGAAGGTTGTCTGTCTCTGTCACAGTGCCAGTGCTTAGTGCAGTGCCCAGAGCGTGGAAGAAACTCGGTGACAGTTTGCTGGATGGTGAAAGGAATATCAGTGTCCTTCTTGAGGCACTACATAGAGCGGGCTTCCCCTCTGGTCTGCAGCCTGCTGCCTCTGAGGTTGCTCAGAAGGCAGGCCAAGGACTGCCTTGGAGCTTTGAGGGTGTCCAGGAGCCTGTGGCCTTTGCAGCAGGCTCAGCCCCAAAGAGGTCTGCTGTTTAACAGCAGCTTGCACAGGCATGTTGCTGGTGCTTAGTATGCCAGCGTCTTGACCTGTCAGTGCTGCTTTCCACTCCTGATCCCTGGCCAGTGCCTTTGGCCTGTGTTCTTGACAAAGCAAGAGTGGAAGTGGACTTGCGAGGTTTCCTTGATTAATCCATGAGAATTAGGAGATGGTCAAAAGAAAAAAGGGCAGGGGATGGGTGGAGACCGCCCTACTCTAAACCCCGACCTGGGGGTAACTGCATTGAATACATAGCACTTGGTTGAAGAGAGAGTTGTTTTTAAAAGAATCCTGTTCAGACTGTGTGCTGCTTGTGAGAGACACATTGGACTCAGGGTGGAGGGTTGAAGTAAGTGGATGGGAGGCACCCATCTCATGGACACAAGCCGCACAGACGTGTGCCTGTGTCGCTGTCTTGGACTTCGCTGGGCAGGACCGGAGCCGAGGCAGAGGGCCTTTTCCTCCTAAGGAAGACATGGAGTCCATGTCCTGTGTCGTCCTCCCTCTGCACCCCCTCCCCCAGCAGCTTCACGTGCACAGAGCATGATGGCAGAAGCAGAGAGGAGACAGACTGACCCGCAGTTACTGCTGGAGAGGACTGACAGTCAGGTGGCCTGGGTAGCAGCTGTGTGCAGTTCAGATAGGACTTGAACTCAGCTTGCTGCAGGTGGTGTTCGTAGCACGTCCCACCCACTGTTGGACGCACGCCCTGTGCTCTGTTGGGCTGGCTCTGGGAACACTGATCCCAGGTCATGTCTCTAGGCCTCTTTCTCCTGCACCAGTATCTTGGACTGTGGGTGCCTCTGCCTCCTTATCCTTATTTTGGGCCTGTCTCCAGTTTGACTTACGTTTGTTCTAAGGAGTCACAGCGAGCAGAGGCTTGTTTGCACTGAGAGCTACTTTTCAGTGGTGTGGCAGGACCCAGGCTGGAGTGCGTGTTGTGCAGGGGACCTGCGTGGTAGAGGTCACCTCTGTTGGTTGTCTCCTCTGGTTGGCTTATGCTGCTGGCCTGTTGGTCACATGGAGCTTTGTCCTTCAAAGTGGGCACTTCATGGAAGAGGGGCTCTGTTGCCTTTCAGAAGGCCCGTTTCTCCTAAACTCACACCTTTTCATCTTAAGCTTGTTGCAAATATGTAACCCAGAGCTCATCATGTCATGAAATTTATTTCATCTTAAAATGTGTCTGTTAGTGATTACTGTCTTTAAAAAATCATTTTACAGGTGCTATGGAAATTACTGAAGCAGCTCTCGTGAGAGACATTTTATACGTCTTCCAGGGCATAGATGGCAAAAATATCAAAATGAGCAACACTGAAAATTGTTATAAAGTGGAAGGAAAGGTACGGTAATGAGTGATCTAGTTTAAATATTCAAAAAGAAAAAAAGTGTCGTAAGTCCAAATAGTAAGCTGTTTCCCTTCCAGGGTGCTCCTGGGGCTTTATGGAATTGGTGCACCAGGCCGGTCGCACCGGGAGGCCCTGGTCTTTTCCCTGTCCCATCTGGCTCCAGCTTTGGGCAGTGCTTTCTTCCTTTCATTGGGTTGGCCATGTGGCTGCAGCAGTGCAGTCAGAGGTGCCTGAAGGACAGAGGGTCAGCTTGGCACTTTGCCATTGACACAGGATTCTCAGAAGATCAGTCATGGCCACAGACAGGCACCGCACAGGGTGACGCCATGGCTTCATACTCCCTCCAGGGCTCCCCGTTCCCTGCTGGCCCTGTGCTGTCCTTGCCCTCTGTGATGGTGCGTTAGTACTGCTCGCTTTCACATGCTGAAGCCTGAGAATCATACTGTTAAGAGTACAAGTGGTCGAGGAGAATGATAATGAAGACTCTAGTATTGGTTCTTCATTTTTAACTTCTGATGTGTTTCCTTTTCAGGCAAACCTAAGTAAATCTTTGAGGGACACGGCAGTCAGACTTGCTGAGTTGGGATGGTTACATAATAAAATCAGAAAGTACACTGACCAGAGGAGTCTGGACCGTTCCTTTGGACTTGTAGGTCAGGTATGTTCATTACTGTTATCTTTGAAAATGCTTAGATCTACTTAAGGTCTGACTGTGGAAATGGCTACGAGGAGAACCCTTTTCGAGGTCAGCCCCCTTGGTGGTCGGTGATGGCATCAGTCAGGGTGCATGTGCTCAGGGAGTGGAAAGCATACGAGGCGTACACAGAAGGACCAGCCGTTGCTGTAAAGGGCCCACAAGTGGTGGGCTTGCGAGCAGGGAGCCTGGGAGGAGGGCCTGCCCCATTGCTGCTGCCACTGCTGAGCAGCAGCTCCCAGGACACGGCCGACGTGACATGCAGTTGTTCTGGGCAGCACCTGCGTCCATGTCTGCGTGCTGCAGGTGCCGGTACTGGGAGCCCATCGTGCCGCCTGGGGCTGTGGTCGGACTCTGCAGAGGAACACCAGCTGCCTCCCCCTGCTGCCTACAGGAGCCTGGCAGGAAGCAGCAAGTGTTTTCTGACTTATAATTGGACACAATGTCTTTATTTTGTCTATTTATTTCTATGTGGTGCTGAGGATTGAACCCAGCGCCTCACACATGCTAGGCAAGCGCTCTACCGCTGAGCCCTAGCCCCAGCCCCAGCCCCAGGCCCAGGACGCAGCAAGTTTGAGCATGTTTCCACAGGCCCTCCTCCTCTCAGTGGTTTAGCAGAAAAGATTTTGCCTACAACTTGATTCTTGGGTAGTGATCATTACCAGTGTTACCTCCAAAAATTTATTGAGAGAATCACAAGGCGGCTGTGTACTGTAAGCATAGAGTGACACCATAGCACAGCTGGTGAGGAGCAGCATGGCAGGGTGGCATGGCTGGTACTCGAGATTGACTGTGCTCAAGAAGTAATGACTGATCTGGTTAGAAGAATGGTTGATGCTCTGGTTAGGGCGATCTTATGTGCCAGTTGGGAGGTCCTTGTTATGTGGTTAGTACCCCCTTTGAGTCTAGAAGTGTCTGGCTCTCCCACGCAGGAACCTTAGGACTCTGGCGAAGGGGCCTCAGCTGGCTGCAGGCTGCCCTCTGAACATGTGGTGCTGAAGCACTCCTGGGCTTCACAGTTAACTTATGTAATCCTGTTCATACTCTTCATGACTGGTGGTGATTGGATGGTTTCTTGTGGTCAGGATTTTTTTCTCTATTTCTTAAACTTTTGGGTGTGTGTATGTGTGCCTGCCCTGAGGTGCTAGGTGTCGCCTTCCTCGCTACAAAAACACTCAGGGTCACTCCAGGGGAACTGGGCTGCACAAAATAACCACACAGGAGACAGAGATACCTTTTTTTGGGGGGTCTTGTGACGGCTCCTCGTCAGGTCACTTAAGGGTCTGCAGAAAGAGAGAGAGCATGTGCTGAACCCTTTTATTGAAGAGAAGCCATTCAGTGAGGCAAGGGGTCAGGTTTCAGGGGGCTGAGTCTAGCTCCGTGATGTCAGTAGGTTGACATCTAGGAAGGCCACACCCAAAGGCAGAGCAAGAGAAGGGGACACACAAAGGGCGTTTTCATGGAACATTCTATCCCAAGCAGGGCAGAGGGGTAATATCACAAAAGAACAGGTGAGCGTAGTTCAATCCATGGGGTGACACGCCTATGTCTGAAGATGCGTCCTCAACCTTTGGGACCAGGGCAGTGTCCAGGTCACTGCGAGATGTAGTGACGGTCAAAGCCTCTTCACTCCAGGATGGAAGGCGCGAATCATTCCGAGTGGCTCCCACAGCTAGGGCAGGGTTTTGTACCATGTAGTTCTGGGCCTGAGTAAATGACATGACTTTTCCTTTGTGGACATTGCCTAAGGAGATGGACCCTCAGTTCATTAAGCACCCGGTGCCCACCCTGCATCCCGTGCTTCCTTCCTGATCTCATTTGCCTCCAAGGAACTGATGCCACCCAGGCTTGGGACAGTGGGGTCTGGCCTTAGTTGGGAGCCAGGACTTAACCCTAAGGTCTGTGATTCCCCAAACTAGAGCATTTTATCTTGAAAGTCTCTTTTGAAATGTTTTGTGTTTTTAAAATCAGTATTTTAATGTTTGTTTTTAGAGCTACAGACATGAAAGTATTCTTAGTAGTTCCCAACCCACAAAGCATAAATATAGCAAAATAAACCCTATTTTGTGTGATTATAATTGTTTTAAAATATGCAGGGACGTAAGGAGCCCGCGTGTTCAAGAGAACAGGCTCTATCTGTTGCAGACCGTGTCTGGTGGGCTGCTGTGGGAGGTAGAACTGCCCCAGGGTGTGCTCTGTCGTAGCCTGCAGTTTGTGCCCAAGGTCTGCTCGAAGGCTGTGCACGGGTGCAGGGAGCCCTCCTTGCAGCGCTGACAGTGCCGCCTTGCTGTGGCCGCTTGTCGGCCATCAGTGGGACAGAGGTTCAGAGCTGTGGATGGGGAGTGAGCGGTGCAGGCCAGAGCACAGCTGGGTCAGTACTGAGTTACCACTCTTTAAATTTTGCCAATTAAGAAACTTAAAGTTAGGTTTTAACGCTAAAAATCTGAGGGGACATGGCCTAAAGCAAAGGCTCTTTGAAGTGACTGCCCTTCAGCTTCTTGAAGGCCATGCTGCAAAGTCCACGCTGTCTTACTAAGGACTACCCCTTTCCTGTCATGTGGAAGGGCTCACTGTGGGGTCAGAACTGTGTGAGGACATTGGCAGAAGCAGCATTGAGGTAGAACTGCCCCAGTGTGTGCTCGCTGCCTCTGCTCTGGCCCTGGCCTCTCCCGGGCCAGGGTGGGGGCGGGGGCGGGGGTGGGGCACCCCGGTGACTCTCTGCTCCCCACAGAGCTTCTGTGCCGCTCTGCACCAAGAGCTCAAGGAGTACTACCGCCTACTCTCCGTTTTACATTCCCAGGTAAGCTGTTTAAAAATTTTTTGATTTCTTCCTGATTTGAAGAGTTAGAAAATTAAAACCACATAGACAGTTTTTTAAGTTACTTTATACAATACTTTTAATGATTGTATTTTGTTTCATAATATGATTTGTTAGGTCCAAATGGCTATAAAGTCTCTTTGTATCCTAGAGCCCATTAATTGTTAATTTTCAGGGTCTTGTCTATCATTTAAAGACCCTCTGTCCTTGAAAGTACTATCATTTTTTCAAAGGGGACCTTTGGTTTAATCACAAGTGTAGTTTCTTTGTGTTCACTTTGTACTGTTTAGAATTAACTTAGAATTTGTGCCTAAACTTTTCCATGTTGTTTTTCAGCTACAGCTAGAGGACGATCAGGGGGTGAATTTGGGACTTGAGAGTAGCCTAACACTACGGCGCCTCCTGGTTTGGACATATGATCCCAAAATAAGACTCAAGACCCTTGCAGCCCTGGTGGATCACTGCCAAGGTGCTTCTGTGTCTGTGTGTGCCCAGATGTGTTCTGGTGGAAGGTCGTCTGCAGGGCAGGCCATCGGTGCGCTTTAGTACCCTGACCCTTTGCATCCTTAGCTGCCAAAAGTACCTTCACTGAATGCAGATTAGTAGACACGGCGCCTACAGGGAGGGCGACTCGTGGCCAGTGTGGTCCCTGTGTGTCCTTGTGGAGGCTTAGGATGTCCCCGAGGTGAAGGCCAGGAGGGGAGGTGTCACTGCATGTGTTCTGGATGCAGGACCCTCCTGTGCTCCTCTCTGCGGCCTCTTGTTGGGCAGCCTCCCTGCCTCTCCCCGTCGTCCTCACTCCTCTGAGGCAGGGTTCTGCCCTGTTCTCCACCTGTCTGGTGGCGTTCCTGTGTATGTGTCCAGCCGAGGCCCTCCCGAGCTCTAGCCTCTGTAGTTTTGGCTGCCTGCTGGACATTTTCCCCTCCCAGTTTGTCCCAGCTTGGCCAAGACCCTCTCCTTTCTCTTTTGTGATGTTGGGATCCTGGTAGTTGTTACATCCTAGGCTTCTTAGGACTTGATGGGATGTGAAGAGCCAGCCATCTGCCCCTGGCAGGAGCTCCCCACACTCCGCCATCTTCTGCTGTATGGTTTTCAGGACCTGAGCTTACATGTCTGAGTCCAGGTTTATCACCATGCAGTCTGTGCCCGCCTCCCTCACCTCCTGGCACTTCTCAAAAAGGTTTTTGAGCACAACAAATAAAACTCTGCTGTTGGTCCAGTTACTGCACACCTCCATGGCTGGGTCTCTGCAACATCCTCCTTTCTCTTGCAGTCCCCCATCTCTTCTAGTATCAGTGGGTCACCTAAGTCCTGCTGCTGTCCTCTACCTGTCTGACCTGTCCTCTTCCCGTCTTGGTGGCACTGCTGCTGTGAGAACCACCGACAGATCCTGGGTCCCAGGCTCACCACCCCTGGTGCACACGGCAGAGCAGTCTGTCCACAGCAGTGACGCAGGGCAACATGAGCCGCTGTGTCACTTGGGAAGCTTCCTGCACCTTTGCTTCTGGACCTGAGTTTGCCACTTGCCTGCTTCAGCCTGCACTCAGGGCTGCTTTGTCTGCGTGGAACAGGGTCTTAGATGGTGCTGCTGCTGGTTAAGGGTGAAGAAAGTGAATTGAGACTAGCGTAGTGAACTCCAAAACAGTGTAGAACGTTAGTTTCTTAGAACTTTAGTTCTTGTTAATCTTACATCATGCTGAATTACAATACGATGTGTGAATCTTAGCGTGGCTCAGTCAAGAAGGCATGAAAAGCCACGTAAGATCTAGATTTTGTCACCAGTCACTTGTTGCTACTCTCTGAATTGAAACACTTGTTAGCAGTCAAAAAGAGGGAAACCACTGATGTTGGGTGAAGCCCTGGGCAGGGTCTTGATGTCTTGGCCTGACGCATTGCTTATTGCTGCTGTGTCTAGGTACCAAAGTGGTGTAGACCGAAGAAAGCAGACACGCTTTATCTCAGTTACTTGGCCATCTTTGGTTAATGTTAAGTGACAGGTTTGTGCTGTGAAGTAAACTTGGGTGTTGTGTTTTCCCAGGAAGGAAAGGAGGTGAGCTGGCCTCTGCTGTCCATGCCTACACGAGAACGGGAGACCCCTATATGAGGTCCTTGGTGCAGCACATTCTGAGCCTGGTGTCTCATCCCGTGCTCAGCTTCCTCTACCGCTGGATCTATGATGGGGAGCTTGAGGACACTTACCACGAAGTAAGGAGGAGTGTTTGGTGCCGAGGCTGGGGGCGAAGGGTGCGGATGCTCGGTGACTCCTCCTGGTTCCCCACCATTTCCACTCCCTCTGAGCAGGATACACCATACTTCACTCAAGTGCCGTGAGCATTTTGTGCTGTGCCGAAAAGATAGTCTTGCTGAGCAGCAGAGCTGTGTGTGGCTGGTGGGAAACTGCTCTCCAGCTCCAGGACTGAGAGACTCAGTGAGTCGGCCCACTTGCCCAGACTTCTGTCGTGTGTCTGAGTGGTGCAGCCTCCCGTGTCCATTCACTGTTCCAGGAGGCCCCTGGGTGCACTCACTTTGCCCACCTGTGGTGGGCTCTGCAACATCCTCCTTTCTCTTGCATCCCCTATCTCTTCTAGTATCAGTCGGTCACCTAAGTTCTGCTGTTTGAAGGAAGCAAGTTAATTGTATAGTGTATATTTTACCTTTTGGAAGTATTGTCAGTTCTGCTATAATGCAGCATGTGAATTCTTAAAAATCACTGCTGTGCAGCTAGGCATGGTGGCTGAGGCGGGAGGATAGGAAGTTCAGAGGCAGCCTTAGCAACTTGGCCGGACCCTAAGCAACTCAGTGAGACCCTGTCTCTAAATAAAAAAATAAAATAAGGGCTGGGCTGCAGCTCAGGGGTAAAGTGCCCCTGGGTTCAATCCCTGGTACCAGGAAAAAAAAAAAAAAACTCATTGCTATGCAAAGCCACACGATAAAAACCAAAGGGCTTTGTGGGAAAATAGGGTGAGGATTGTCACACTCAAAAACATTTTCAGGAACATTAAGAAAGCAAAAGCAGGAACCTAAAAATAATTTACACCTGTTAAGTGGTTAAGAGATACATGAACCTGCAGTAAGTACGGCATTCACCTTGGAACATCTCTGATGTTTGCTGTGGAAGTGGGCATGGGAGGGCTTGGGTCCATCTGTTCTGTGAAGTGTCGGGGGCCGTCTGACACACAGTGCACCTGGGAGGAAGGAAGGGGGCCGAGGGCTGTCTGTGCGTTTGTCCTGTGGCTCTGGCTCTGCCTTTGGCTGCCATCCTCATGGCACGAGGTGCCCGTGAGCAGATGTGAAGCTGTGCCGCTATTGCCGTTGTTTTTTTTAAGACACGTGCTAGAGCAGAACCAGTGGTAGATGGCGCTCTGTGCTTTGGAAGCCTGTGGTGGGCGGTACGTGGGGGTGTGGTGCCAGTGGTCAGTGTGCCTCGGCTCTCTGATAACGCCGGGAGGGCCTTTGTATTACCATGTGTTATTCCACCACATGAACAGACCGGTATTTACTCAGCAGCTCTCCTGTTGATGGAAATTGTGTTTTTTGTAGCTTTTCATCTTAGGAACATTATTCAAATAAATGTCCTTTTTTGTGTCTCCCAAATTTCTTGGAAGTAGGTGTGGAGGTGGACCTCTGGCTGGTGAGGATGCATGCCTTAGGTTTTGATTCTGCCCTTTTAAGCCCTCAAGTGGGTGTACCTCAGGTTCAGCATCTCTAATTTGAACGTTCCAAATCTGAAATCTGAAACTGAGTGCTGTCATGATGCCACCAATGGAAAATTCCACACCTGGCCACGTGACAGTTCACATGAAACAGGCACTCTGTATGCTATTGACAACGACCTTCATACTGTCCACACAGTGCATAGGAAACGTAAATGAAGTTAGGTGACACTGGAGTCCCATCCCGAGGTACCTTATGTATATGCAGACATTCCAGAGTCCAAAACAGATCCAGTGTTCTAAACGCTTCTGTTCACAGGCACTTCAAACCAGGGCCCCTGGCCCGTGCTGGTGTCCTGGGCTTCCTATTATCAGCTTACATAGGTGTTTCTGAGCGCAGTTAGGCCAGTTGGCTGTGCAGGGAGTGTGTTTTGTATTTATAGTGAAATTTAAATCCTTTTTGGGTCTATTCTGGAAAATATTATGAAGTTGTTTGTTTAGTTAAGAGTTTCAAGTGAGACTTAAGCTTTCAGGATTAAAGGGGTCTTATATTCTTGGGCTGTTCAGTTCTTATCCAGTAAGATGGGAGGTAGGGGGAACTTGCAAGTGTCTGCCTTTGCTTTGTTTTTGGTAGAGTTAATGCATTTGAATTCCTTTATTCTCCAGTTACAGGATGAAGTGAGTTTTGGATGGTGTTTTCTGTGTAGTTGAGGTGGTGCACACCTGTAATCTCAGTGACTTGGGAGGCTCAGACAGGAGAGTCATGAGTTTGAGGCTAGCCTCAGCAATGTACCAAGGCCCTAAACAACTTATAAATAGGGCTGAGGATGTGGCTCAGTAGCAAAATAACCCCCCCCCCCCCCCCGCCGCCACCACAAACACCCATGAAACCAAAAGAAGCCCTGTATAGTTGATTATTTAAAATGCTTGTTAAATCTTCTGACCATGATCACAAAACAGATTATCTATACTTTAAAAGTATGTCATTTTCGAGTTTAGGTTAAGAAAATGAAAAATTGAGTTTCTTTTTAAGGTGTATGTATATATGTGCAGGGCCCGGGTTCAATCCCCAGCACCAAAGAAAAAAGTTCTGTGTGTTCAGTTTTGAGGCTATCTTTTTATTACCCATTAAAATTGTACCTTACAGAACTAAGAGGTTATTTTTTAGAGCAATCTTTAAAAAGATTATGAAAAAACTTGATAATTTTACGACTATTTAATGAAGAGTCTCTGTTCCCTCTTCTCTATCTGGTGATTAATACATGGATTCTAACCCAGCTCCGGGCAGTTTCTGCTCTCCCGAGCCCTTGAGGTGCAGTGCCCGAGTTCCTTGCTGAGGCCTGCCCTGCCCAGCCCTGCAGGCCACGGGCGTGCTGCTCCCTGCTTGTCCTGCTGCTTGTGAGGCATGCCGTACTGGGCTCTGGCCTGGCCGCCCTCCTCATGGCTCTGCGCCCTTCAGCCTCCCTTCCGTCTCCAGAGGGGTGTGGTGGCCACCCTGCTGGGGTTCCATGAGGACGAGGTTTGAGCAGACAAGTGGTGAGCGTGTAGAGGTCACCTGAGTGAGGCAGCCCCAGCAGAATGGTGGGTTCCCCGAGTCTCTTTTGTCCCTAAGTCGGCGGCCTTTCTCTTTTCTGTTTGTACGTCTCCATCACCCTCAATTTCTGGAGAACCCTACGTTGATACATGTTCATTTAAACTTTTGATGAGCTTTGGAAACATTCTCTTTAGTTGACTCTTATGTACTCACTGAATGAAATTGGTAGTTTGTAGAGGGTGTGTTTGATGGTTATGTGGCTAAAATCTGAGAATTCTCCTTCATTTCCAGTATAGGTTAGTATGTCCTCAGTCTGGCTACTGTGAGGTTGAATTTCTATAGTCTACAGTTGACCCTGATGGTGATACAGGAGCTTATAATCTTTTATTTCCTGGTAGATTATTGGATGTCTGCATAAAGAAATGCTACTTTCTGTAATCAAAAGAAAGATAAAGACATCAAGAAAGAACTTGAAAAAAGGGAGTAGGTGTAGAGGTGGAAGCCAGAGCTGATCAGGGCATTACTGCAGTGAGAAGAATCGCTAGCTGCCCTGCTTAGCAGGGAGGTCAAGTGAGGCCATCCAGCTGGGGGACCAGAGGAGAAAGAAGGAAGGAATGTGAGAGGTGCCCAGGAGACTGCGGTGCGCAGATCTCACGCTCTGCTTTGCACGTCCCGAGTCGGCACTCTCAGTGGAACGGGGAGGGTTCTTAGGTCATTTTAAGAGGCTGCTGTAAGACAGCATAGGAAAACGATATGCCAATGTCTTATGAATGAAGATACGAAGATCCCCAAGAGAATACTGGAAAACGGAACTCATGGCATATATCAAAAGGACTGTACCCCTCAGCCAAGTGGGGTTTACCCCAGGAATGCAAGGGTCCGGCCTAGAGCCGACTGCGTGACACCACACTCAGGATGAGCAGAGAAGTCAGAAAACACCCCCCACCCACCACCATTGGTGCTAAAGGAGCAATTGAAGAAATCCAACATTCTTCACCTTAGGAACGCACAGACTAACTAGAAAGGAGCTCAGCCAGCAAAGGGCGTCTATGAACTGTCACAGACCACGAGCCTCTGGGATCAGGAACAAGACGGGGTGTCTGCTCCCACCACTCCTGTTAGCATTGTGCTTCAGGTGGGGGGAACAAAGCATCCAGGTCGGAAAGGACCAGTAAGTGCTCTCTGTCCCAGATGGCCAGGTCTTGCAGATGCAGGCACCGCACTGTGAGGGTACCTGGGCGAAGGAGCCTGAACCTCACATCTAGGTGCTCCCAGCAGCAGGTGTGAGATCAGTAGCAGGAACCAGCTGTGCTCCTGTGCCCCAGCAGTGTACGTCCACATGGGAGACCGAGAAGATAGTCACAGGCAGTAGGACCCCAACAGGCAGGAGGCCTGGGGTCAGTTTAGCCAACGAAGTGCGTGTCTTGAGCCTGTACATGCTGTGTCTGTGAGTTTGCTGCCTCCAGGACTTCTGTTGCACGAGTGTCTGGGTGTGTGTGTGCGTGTCCCCTGGCATGGTCACTGCGGTGTCTCCGACGGGTGTCCTGAGAAGCAGTCTCACCCTGGCCTTGGCCTGCATGGCTGGTGAGTGAATCTTCAGAGGTCTGTGTTGATGGGTCTGATTCCTAGAAACCAGTTGCTTACTGAGAAAATCTCCCTCTTTGTTTCTGTGTTTAGCAGGGGAGCCTTGGTGTTTCTCCAGCAGCGAACGACATACCTTGGTACAGTTAGCTTTATTTTCCCTTGATTCTGTTAGGTTTAATAGTGAAAATCCAAGACCTTGAGTGGAAAAATGCATCAGTAAAGTAAAAGCTTTGCATCTGTATTCTGACCTTGTTTTTCCTCCCTCGCTGCATCTCTCTCTCACAGGGTTAATTATGTTCTGAAGGGCCCCGTCTTTGTGTTCATACTGGCTGTTTGCCGGTAGAGTGACTGCATGTTCCTTTGCCCCCAGAGGAAGCAATGCGTTCATGACTTCTGAAGATGACCGGATTGTCTGAGCTTTTTATAGCTGAAATTAAATTTTCTTATTGTTCACGCTGATAAAAATCCGGCTGCACTCCAGCTATTAGGATGAATTAGTGTGTTGTCCATAAAAGCTAGCTCTTCTGTTCAGGTGAAGAGCAGGGAAATACAATTTATGCAATTAATCTAATCTGTTGAATGGCAGGCTGCAGAGCATGCACAGCACAGTGATTGGGTAACCCTGGAGATTATTCATGGTGGATTTTTAAATTTCCAGTGGAGATAATTTAAGTATATGTTAAGGTGACGATAGTCCACATTAGAGAACTGTTTATTTCTCAAAGCAGTTATGAGTTGTGTTTTAAATTAGAAAGGTAATGTAAATCAAAAAGTCTAAAATAGAAAGGTCCACGAATGCTTAGTCGTTCAAGTTGTGCTAAAGATGGGAAGTTTTAGCTGACTCAGTGGGGTGGCCCTGCTCTGCAGTCAGGGAAGCCCTGGTCTCGTCCTGCACCTGCGTGCAGAGGGCTGGCTGTGTGCTGCCGTCGCCATCACACCTCTCCTACCAGGACCTTGGCATTGCTGGAGTTCCATCCCCTGGCTCTTCTCCCTTGGTGTTCCTGCCAGAGACAAAATAGCCTTTGACCTAATTGCCTTGAGAAAATGATGTTATTAAGAAAAATACTGGAAAATGTGTTCAGTATTTGATGGAATTACTTCTTTAATTAAACAGTATTTTTTCCTGATTTAAAAATATTCCCAATTTTAAAAATCTGGGTTATATAAATAGAGATATAATAGATTATATAAATAGGTAAATGGAGGTAGTTAAAAATTCATTAGTAATCTCATGTACAAATATTTAGGAATATGCCATTTTTACTGTGTATTTGTGTACCATGTTTTATAACTTGTTATTTTTTTCCTTGTAGTAAATACGGTTATTTTATGCCAGTAAACATTATTTTTTCATACCACGGCTGCTTAGAATGATCTCTGAAATTCCTGAACAGTATACCAAACTGTATTGTGACATGTGCATTTTTTCCCTGGGACAAAGGTCTGTACTTTTCCTCAGATTCTTGGAAGGTCAGTGATAGTTAAGAACAAACTGTTTTAAATCACTACATGATAGCTTTTTGTAATTCCTTTATGTTTTGTTTTCAGTTGTGTTTAGGCATTTAGTGCCGTACTGAACAGTGATATACCCTGACCAAGAATACTTTATTTAAGTAATATAAGGATAATATTTTATTCAGAATTCATTCTTCTATTTTCATAGATGAAACTGGCTTATAATATTAAGTTTTGACACTCTTTGTAAGGTGTGCTAGCGTCGGGCTAATGTCATGAAGTAAACTCAGGCATTCTGTATATTTTCTGTGGTCTCGAACATTTTCAGAGCATAAGAATGGTGGTTTTTAGCCAGGTGTGGTGGCACATGCCTGTAATCCCAGCAGCTTGAGAGGCTGAGACAGGAGGATCATGAGTTTAAAGCCAGCCTCAGTGACCTAGCACAAGGCCCTAACCAATCCAGCGAGACCCTGTCCTGTCCCTAAATAAAATATATCAAAAGGAGTTGGATGTGGCCCAGTGCCTCTGGGTTTAATCCCTGGTACCAAAAAAAAAAAAATAAAAATAAAAAAAGAAAAGCCACCTTTTTTTTTTTTTTTTTTTTAAAGTTAAGCAGGCCCTGGACCTTGCTCACAGCATCTTAACATTTCCAATTTCTTCTAACGATGTTGCCCTTTTGGGGTCTCCTCTCTTTTCTTGGTTTACTTTTGGCCCTTGCATTTTGTTAGAAGATCATTGCTCTATAATTGCTGATATTCCTTGGATCCATTTTGTGCCTGTGGACTCACTGTCCAGTCGGGGGGTGTCATTCACAGGGCACTTTGGGATGGGTAGGCACTTGTGTGTTTCTGCCTGTGTGGGGTTTCTGGTCTGACACCGTGGAGCTGCTGTGTGTGGTTCAGCCGGTGCTGGGTCTCAGTCCTCTGGGTCCTGTGGCACACCACCACGGGTGCTGAGGTCGTGGTCCTGACTTCTCTCTTAGAGCAGAGTGGGCTCGTGGGGAGGCAGCAGAATCTAGGTCCCAGGAGGAACCGAGGTGAGCCCAGAGGCCCTTCTGTGCCAGGAGGCCAGCAGGACTCCTAGAGCCCATCCAGTGTTAAGGACCAGGTGTGGTCCCGGAGGCTCCATGCTCCCAAGCATGGAGCACCAGTGGGAATAACAACCTGTGGTTCAAACTCTAGGGGCACTGGATACTGCTTTCCCATGGTAATACTAAGCAAACTGCCCCCACCCCCGTGGCTGGTCAGAGAATCTTCAGGTGCCCCTCACGTCTCTTGCTGTAGCCACGCGGCATCCTTTCTTATCTGTTGATGCAGTTCTGATAATGCTTCCCCGTGCAGCAGGTCCAGCAGTAAAGAATCATGGCACGCAGCAGGAAGCAGATCCCTGCAACATCTTGTCAGTTCAGAGTCCAAGGTTGAACATGGCACAAAGACTGAAGTCACATGGTGGAGAATATTCCTATGATCTGGAAATGGGAAGATCTCAGGGAGACAGGAAGCCTAGAAGCTCTAGAGGAAGGCAGGTGTTTAGCTCACAGGAAAATAGAACACAAATGTAACCAGTTGCAAACAGTTAACTTAGGAAAACTAGATTTGCAGGGTGTAGTAGCACGTGCCTGTAATTCCAGCAGCTCGGGAGGCTGAGGCAGGAGGATCGAAAGTTCAAAGCCAGCCTCAGCAAAAGTAAGGTGCTAAGCAACTCAGGGAGACCCTGTCTCTAAATAAAATACAAAATAGGGATGGGATGGGGCTCAGTGGTTGAGGTGGTTGACTGCCCTGGAGTTTAATCCCTGGTACAAGAAAGAGAAAAGAAGAACTAAGTTTGTGTCATGTAGTAATTTACAGCAGAATGTTATTGATAAGGGAAGGCAAAACCAGTAGAAAGGTGGGTTAAGGATACAAAAAGACAGTTCTAAGGAGGAAAAAAAGAAAGTAACGAAATTATGAAAATATGTTAAACTTCATTTGCAGTCAAATAACAGGACAATAATAATGTCACCTAAAGCACACAAGATGTAGAATGTCGGGCATGCTATTGGCAGGGGGGGCAGTAGACGGCTACTGGGAAAGGAAGTCTGGTACTGTCCATGGGAATTAGGCTACTTCGACTCAGCACTTCTGCTTTTAGAAAACTCTTTTATAGAAACCAAGGCACAGGTGCTGGGCATGTGGCTGAAGGTGGAAGTATTCTCACTGTGGTGGTAGCTAAGCTGGACGTGATAGCAGTGGAACTTCCCCTCAGTGCTTGGAGTTCTTCCTGATGTCAGCCCTCTGGGTGGCTGGGGTGGGTGGGTGGGGGCGGGGAAAGTGGGCTGTGACTTAAATGGGAGGGAGAGGAGATCTTGGTCCTTTCCCAGTGCCACCTGGCTGGCTGCTGATGGCCACTGCACGTGTGCTCGTGGGTGTGGGAGGGCCTGCCTGCAGGTGATGGTGTGAACTCCGGTGCTCTTTTGTGAGCAGAGCATGTGGGTTCAGACACCTGTGCCCCACAGTGCAGCCCTGTGAAGTGGAGATGGTAAGCTGGTACTGGCTGAGCAGAACAGAAGTTCGGGCTATTGCCAGGTAGTAGAGCTTCGTGCAGACAGGGAAGCCGGTTCCAGGTTGCGGGCAGGGGCCTCCTTGATACTCAAAATGAGGTTCCTGATTCTCCAAGAAGTAGTCTAACTTGTTTTTTTAATGCTCTTATTTGGGAAACATGTAATTCAACTTGGATTTTTGTCTAAAATTCTTTATAAAATTAATTTTATTGGGTAAATGGGTAAGATTCCCTGTTATCTGGAGAATTTGCCTATAGAATAATTTTCTAGAATAACTTATTATTTGATGCTGCTTTTAGTTCAGTTTTTGCAATAATATCACTTTTTGATACTCATTGAACCTTTGCTTTCAGTTTTTTGTAGCATCAGATCCAACAGTTAAAACAGACCGACTGTGGCATGACAAATATACTTTGAGGAAATCGATGATTCCTTCATTTATGACAATGGATCAATCTAGGAAGGTGGGGAAGAAGAAATTTTTGTGACTTCGATGTTTTATTGCAATATATACTTGGATTATGTAACAAAACTAGTTTTCAGTTAAGTAAAATTTTTTTTTGCATGTTAGGATTGTTAGTATCTTAGAAGTACATGTTAATTGAATGCATCACTATTGTCAATGTGTGTGTTAATTTATTGGCTTTGAGTTCCTAGAAGTTACTTGATAGTAGATCTGATGTTCTTGTTATGTAGTTTTTGATCAATCAACAATTTGTAACTTGTGACTATTTGTAGTATTTGATGATAATTTAAATTTCATTTAAAGGTAATCATAGGATATTTTCCTTTTAGGTCCTTTTGATAGGAAAATCAATAAATTTCTTGCACCAGGTTTGTCATGACCAGACTCCTACCACAAAGATGATAGCTGTGACCAAGTCTGCAGAGCCACCGCAGGATGGTATGAGTATGTTGGTGGTGATGATTGGTGGTGGTGGTGGTGGTGGTGATGGCATTGATGTGATGTGGGGTTGGGGATAATGATGATGGTGGTAATAGGGGTAAAGGTGATGTATTGATGGTGGGGATGATGATATGGTGGTGGTGGTGTGAGGACAGGGATGATGATGGTGGGTGTGGTGGTAATGGGGATGGTAGTGGTGGTGAAGGTACTGATGAGAATGGTGGTGGTGAGGATGGTGGTGATGAGGGTGATAATGGTGATGGGGATGGTGGTAGTGGTGGTGGTGATAATGGTGGTGATGGCGACAGGGTGTGGTGACAGTGAAGGTGATGGTGGTGAGGATGGTGGTGATGAGGGTGATAATGGTGATGGGGATGGTAGTGGTGGTGGTGATAATGGTGACAGGGTGTGGTGATGATGGTGACAGTGAAGGTGGTGGCAGTGAGGGTGGTGGTGATGATGTGGTGATGGTGGTGACAGTGAGGGTGGGGGTGATCATGTGGTGATGGTGATGGTTATTTATTGCTTAAGATGTTCTTTGTTCCATAGGATTTAGAGATTATGTGGATGACTAACATACTGTTGACCACAGTTTGTGCACGTTTGTGCGTATAATATCTGTATGAATGTTAATTCCCTTTTTTACACAGAGTTAAATAGTAGGTATTGGACTAGGGTGTGACTTTTTTATTCTGCTTAGTAATTTGTGTTACTCTTTCCCTAATGGTAAAGTGACAGGTGCCAAAATAAGAAAACAGGGTGAAATGTAACTAATGGTAGCCCTGCTTTGGGACTCAAATGCTAGTTCAGAAACCAGCAGGGATTTGGCAATCTGTTGTATTCAAAATGCTGTGCTAAATTTGTCCCTCCATTTCAAGTGTGATGATTTCCCCTCATTCGTCTGCCATTCCTCACTTCCATTTTACCCACTCGCTGCCTGCCCAGCTTTAATAGTTTCATGATATTGTGTGTGTGCCTAACTTGTTTTTATAGCTTTCCTGTCCTGGCTGTATCTGCTGTTCCTGTCGTCATCTCAGATGGCTCACAGAGTTTCCTTTGTATTGACAATGGGATACCAAGTAACCCTAGGAGAAGATCGGGCTGGCTGTGGAAGTTTGGGAAGCACCTGCCTTGTTACGACAGCCAAGGGCAAGGCTGATGCCCTGGCCCGAGTGCCCAGGGGGTGGGGTGGGGCAAATGTCAGGCCCTCAGAGCTGGGTGTCTCACCCACAGTGAATTTGGACACAGTTTTGTGGTCCCTCAGGTTAACTCCTGGATAGAGAGGTGCCATTCAGTGCAGATTTTGGGAAATGCCTATGATTAAAAGGTAGAAGAAAGAAGAGCCAGGATAGCAATTGTGTTGGAGCCGTGGCCTTTCCATAGTGCCTAGAGGACCACCTGCAGGAGGGGCATGGGTAGCACCTGGGAGGGACAGTGTCTCCACAGGCCTGGTTTGGCTGCCTCCGCTGCTGCCGTCACTGTGTGCTGCTGGTGTTACTGCCGCCTCTGCTGCTGCTGTAAGGCCACTGCAGCTGCCCCTGCTGCACCTCTGCTGCCACTGCCATTCTGCACTGTGCTGTGGCTGTGCTGCCTTTTCACGGTGGCCTGGATTCCTGCTGCCCCTTCAGACTGTGTCATAGCTAGTGTCTGTGGAAAGCCAGCTTCTGCTGCTCAGTTTATAGCATAGTGGAAAGATAGGGCACAAGTCCCCAGAGACTGCCAACAGTGCACATGTGGGATATGTCAGATTCATATTCACCTGTGACAAAATTTCCAGGTTATCCAAGTGCCACTAAAGAATAAAGAGGGATTTGAGAAGCTGGACACAGGAGTGCTGGGACCTGAGGAGCCTGGGTCTCAGTTTTCTGACAGGCGCCCTGGGGGAAGATTGGTTACTGTTGTGTTGTGTGTACTAGAATGAGAAATGCTTATGAGTCAGACAGCAGTGTGGTGAAGGCCTCCTGGGCTCCAGAGTCTGCCCTTTTAAAACTGCATAGATGAACAGAAACATCACCTCTGCCCTTAGCGTGAGGACCGTGGGAGCTGGTGGCCTGCTCCTGTGCCTGTGGGCCCAGCAGACCTCACTCTGCCGTCATCTGTGGCCCTCTTCACCGGGTCCTGGTTTCCTACTCTAGGGGGTCACTGGAGTGAGCAGTACCAGACTCGCCCACGGGTGTGGGGAAGCACAGAGAATCATGGAGTCTTCTGATACTTTAACTCAGCAGTGGAAGGAGACTGAAACTGGGAATGAAAGGCCTCGCCTCTCTTATTCCTGCTTGACCTTGAACATGTACTTCATCTTTTCTCAGGCTAGGTTGTTGCTTAGCTTTGGGGTGGTTTTCTAGCCCGAGGGTACTGTGGTTTCTTAATGAAACTGAATGTTCACACTGGCGCTGCAGGATGTAATTAGCCTCATAAAAGCCCTGTGGTGTGTCTGTGGTCTCCACATTCTTGTCCTTTGGAAGTACTTTCTCCCTGTTAGGAGCTAGGCTCTGTGGGCTACAGTCTGGTCCTCTCCCTGGGAAGTCTCCAGTGGGTTCCTGTGGCACTGTGATGTGGCTGCATGACGGTGATTTCCCGCTCTCCAGAGCTGCATGCCCGTGGTGCCCTGCTCTCCAGAGCTGCATGCCCGTGGTGCCCTGCTCTCCAGAGCTGCATGCCCGTGGTGCCCTGCTCTCCAGAGCTGCATAACGCACACATGTTCACACGGGGCTCTGCTCCAGGACCACTTATTTTCTGGGTGACTATAGAGCTTTAGTCAGACTTCACATGGCAGTGTGGAAAGTGACCTCTGGAGTTAGGAGCAGTGCCGTGTCAGTTCCTATTGTTGGTCCCGCAGTTGAGGTCGGCGAGTGCCCTCAGCTGTCTGGGTGCTGGTTTGCTTTCTTTGACTGCAACTCTATGGTGGGGTCGGCCTGCCTTCCGCACATTTGTGCCCCTGCTGTACTGTTCCGATACATATCACACATGTATGTGTGCTTCTCCCTTTGTCCTCTACAGCTGCAGATTTATTCACAGATTTAGAAAATGCATTTCAAGGGAAGATCGATGCTGCTTATTTCGAGACCAGCAAATATCTACTGGATGTTCTCAACAAAAACTACAGCCTGCTGGACCACATGCAGGCCATGAGGCGGTACTTGCTTCTTGGACAAGGAGACTTTATAAGGCACTTAATGGATTTGCTAAAGTAAGAAGTAAACTGCTCAAGTGTTCTAAGTAGGCAGTACTTGCAATGTGAAAGAGTCTGATACTTCTGGTGTGGAAGAATCAGTGGTATCAGAGGGAAAGCTTGAATTGTTACGGGGCACACGCCTATCAGAATCTACACAGATGAAATGGTGTCATTTCACGGGCCAGGGTCCTTTGGGTTTGCTCTGGTGATCTGTAGGCCATCAGCCTGTGCGACGGGCTGTTCCTAAGAATCTGTGTCATTACGAGCACTGTGGCTGTGTCAGCACCCTGAGTGTGAGAAGTCAGGCAGAATCATAGTTAACTCTGGCTTCAGTGTGAAATTAACCTGAAAATGTATAATTTACACTGAACTTTGTATTCGTATTTTCAGCTATCATTGTTTTGTGTGAAGAGCAAAACCTTCCATTTGGCTCCTTTGGCCCTCCTCCGCCATCCCTCTGGAGTCCCATGCTGGTTCTCTCCTCCCTCCCTAGAGACAGAGACATCTGTACCTAAGAGGACACAGACCCCAGGGGTGCAGTCCAGCGCTCTTGGGCAGAGCTGGCCATGCACACGCTGAGTGTCGTCACAGCATAAGCCCAGTGGTTTTCACTCAGACGTTTGTGAGAATGGATACTTCTTATTTGGGGGCAGGGTGTGGAGTTCTCTTTAGGACATTTAAAAAAAAGATGAATGTCCCCCTTAGGACACAAAACAATAAGTTACTTTTAAATCCTAGCTGTCCCCATCAGATCTGCGGTAGTCTTGGGCCATGGTTGAACTTTATTTATTGTTTATTTAAGGGGGCACATCAAAGGCAGGGATAAGGTTTCAAGGGCGGAGTCTTGCAGTCAGCAGATTGATTGACGTCTTGGCATGTGACACCCATTTGAGGTGCAGTGTGGGATCTTTGGCAGAGCTTGAGGGGGGAAGTTCACCCGCATTAGGTAGTCACTCCTTGTCGGGGTGCCACCAGGAGTTCTCCATGCCAGACTGATCCTTTCGTGAGGCTACTATGCACAGCAGTCCACACACAGCCACAGGTGGCTTGTGACTCTTGTCTGCCCTTGAAACCTTATACCTGCCTTTGATTTGCCCCCTTAAATAAACCACCGGAGTCATTTTGTCTTTTGTCTAGTTCTAAAACCCATGTGGACTAGCTCTATCAGGGACTTCACTTTCTGTAAATATATTTCTGAGTATCTGTGCTTTGTTATTTACCGATTATTTGGAAATTTAAGTTTTAGGGTGGCTTGGATTATCCTAGGCAGGGGTCCTTCTCAGAGCTTGGCTTTAGGTGTCTGGTGTCTATGGGGAGTGGCCAGGTGATGCCCAGTGTTGGCCCATGTTTCTCAGGCACCCTAAGGCCTGGTATTTCGAGATTGCAGCCACCAGCAGCTGGCAGTACTGTTGCTGATGGCGGGTGTTTCTGAGCCCCTTGGAATTGCCTCATCCTCGTTTCTAGTAGGCTTGATTTCAAGGAAGCCCTCTCCTGCCATTGAGTGTCTGTAGGAAAGGAGTCATCTGTGCTACTCATAAGCCAGTCTTAAGTTTGAAAACTTTGCTAACATTTAAGTACTTTCAATTTAAGCCAAATGAAGATTAATATTTTGGGAATTTTAAATAAATGTTTTAGTCTTTAAAATAGTTGGCAAATCCTATTTGCAATTTATGTCTTGTAGCTCTTGTTACTATACTGTATTGGTCCCATTTATCTTTTCAGTTTTTACAATTAGAATTTTACTTGTAAGGTACTTAGGGGTTCCTTCAAAGTCCAAGTAACATTTTCTTTAATTTTTACACAACATATTAAGACCGGAACTTGTCCGTCCAGCAACAACTTTGTATCAACATAACTTGACTGGAATCCTTGAAACTGCTGTGAGAGCCACCAATGCACAGTTTGACAGTCCTGAGATCCTCAGAAGGCTGGACGTGAGGTTGCTGGAGGTGAGCAGCGTGAGTGTGCCGTGCGTCTTCGTGGGTGTGTCCACGTTGGTGAAGGCCCGGCTCCTCTAGGCTCTCCAGGGAACGGCGCCGCCTGTTTCCTGGGGCCTTGACTCCACTTGAGCCTTGATACTGGTGATTACAGGCAAGTCACCTCCCCTGCAAGCCATGCCACCTGGGGAGGGGTGATTCACAGGGCTGGTGGGCCCAGAACAGACGGCACATCATGGACACTTGGTGATGGCGACTGTTCTGCATCAGGTTGGCTTTCAGCATAGGTGGGAGGGAGGAAGTGGCTCTGGCTGGGGCCTGGGTATAAACACAAGCGCGTGTTCGCTGAATGTTGATGAGAATCATGATACGACTCCATTGGTTTTCTTAAAGTACACTTTTTGAGATCTGGAACCTGTCATGGGCCCATGGGCTTTGAATGTACCCTCAGTGTTCATTCCTAACCACCTGTAGAGCAGCTGTGGCGTGCCTTGCCCTCACCTCAATGTTGAGGACACAGAGGCTGACGTCATCCTCTCCCTGCTCTCTAACAAGAGCCTTGTTACAGAGGGGGCCGGTCAGTGCTATCTCTTGAAGCCTGGGCAGTTCTGCAGCAGGTGCCCTGAGTCTTTCAGTTGTCTGAAAATAACAGATGATAAACCGATGTCTGTTTCTGCTGATAGGTCTCTCCGGGTGACACGGGCTGGGACGTCTTCAGCCTGGATTACCACGTTGATGGACCCATTGCAACTGTGAGTTCATTCTGTGTGCTTGTCTAACAGTCAGCCTGTTTTGAATGCTAAACATTTTATTGTTTAAAATTGGCTTTTTTCTCCGTGAACATGATCCAAGTGATTGTGACGTGTAGGATATGTGCCCATTGAATGAATGAATAATACTTAGGCCAAAATCGTGTGTTAAATCATTAGTAATGAGTGCTGAAATGCTGTATTATTTTAAGATTCCTTAAAAATATCATCCCTTCTATCATAGATTTCAGCAAGTACTTAATAAATGGATTGTTCATTTTGTTCCATTATTCTTAGATTGTAGCAACTAATTTAGAATAATTTGAAAGGAACTATAAAGTATATTTTAGGGGAATTGTATTTTTACTACTTAGATAAAGTTTGATATGGAGTATTCATTTAAACTGATGAGAAAATAGCTGTGCTATTGTTCATAGTGCTTTTACCACATGTGAAGCGCCCTTTCTTTTTAGTTATCCGATCGTAAATGGTTGGCCAGGAGAGTTGTCATCTTAGTTACTGCAATTAAAATGCCTCTTTCTGGTGCTCATTTTTCTTTATTCAGGCTTGAATAAATCCTCCTTGACCATGATATCTCTTTAAACTTAGTTCAGTCATTTTTATAGCTGAAATATTGAAGAAGGACACTGCATTTCTTTTATTTATTGGGACAAATATTTTGCTGAGAAGTAACAGAGTTAGACTCTAAGCCTTCTGTGGTAGTTCCTGTAGAGCCGGACTCTATGGCTTGTCCCCTCCTCTCCTGGGGTGAATCACACTGCCCATGAGGATAATGTCTCTGAAGCTGCACCAGACTGGGCAGACTTGGCACCAACCACTTGTGTGTTGCTGGCCGTGAGCTGGGACTACCGGCACAGGTGCCTTACTTCTGCCTCGCCTGTCTGTCCTTCGCCAGAGGAAGCTGCCTTGGCTTGAACACCCTTAAGTTCACTCTTTTGTCATGTGCAGTTAGGTTTTTTCCTTTGACTTACATCCTAAACAGGGTTAGATAGTTAAAATGTACAACATGCTTGATATTTTAACACTCTAAGTGAGAGACTGTCATAGTATCTGCTTTGCGGGCTCATGTACGTTTCCTGCCATTTTCATAGCCTACAACAGGCTCCACAGTGGGGCGGGGGTGGGGTTCCGTGGTAGAGTGCTTTGTCCAACCCGCATGAGGGGCCAGGATACCCTAGGAAGGGAAATCGCGTTTTCACAAGCTCCAGGTGCCTTCGCAAATCGGCAACCCGAACACAGTTTAGATAAGTGATGCCTTAGCTATTTGTAACATTGCACGTCTTACATGGAGTGTGCTGTGCACTCACAAGTGTGATGGCATGTTGTTAAAATCAGAGGTTTTCAAGCTCTAGCAGAAGGACAGAAGAAAAGCACGTTATGCCGTAGTGTCATTTAAAATGCATCTAGGACATTCCTGTGACCAACAAGTGTTGATTTGTAGGCTAGCCAGTGGTGGTCACGGCAGCAGCCTGGACTGCCCGATGGAGAAAGGGGAAGGGAGGGTCCTATCGGTGGCAGCCCTGCCAGGGACCCAGTGTGCGGATGCCCTCCTGCTCGTCTGGCCTTTGCCATGTGGTAGCATGTTTTCAGCTAAATTGCCATGACTGTAGCCATATTGGACTGCTGTAAGTATTCAACTGTTATTAGAAACTGAAATAATGTTTATCAGAGTAAACTGTATGCAGTTATGTTATGTATAAAGGTTACTAGGAAACTTATATTAAAAATAGTCTTTAGAGTCAAGATTTTGAAGAGAATCGTTTTCTGTTAAACTCACATATTATTCTATTTATTTTCTGTTCTCAATTCAAGTTGGCATTTTTATACAGAATTTAATTATACATATATCTGGTAATAATCATGAAATTATATCTAATAACAGCAATTTGGAAATTTTTGGATAGATTTTATTTGGGAAATTAATTTATGAAATTCAAGATTCAAGTTACTTTCCCCCTAAATTAGCCAAATATAGTTCACTAAACATGTAATAAAATACTCTGGCTCCCCTTATTTTGAATGAATCCTAAGCTCTTTGTGTGACGTTGGGTTTTATTTAATCTGGGAACTCAGAGTGCTGAGGCCGTCTGACTGCCCCGTGGCTGAGGGGTTGGTGGTGAGGCAGGGGCAGTGAAGGCCTGGTTCTGCCTCAGTGCTGCCTTCTGCACGGCGCGGCAGAAACCTGGGATTTCTGTCACCTTCTCAAGTTTCAGAGCTTTTTTAGTATTTATCTGAAATCGATTCTGTAAGAGGAGGTGAACTGAAAGGCAGTGTGACAGTAGAACTACAGTGTTGTGGTGCTTTCTTCATGTAAATTCAGTGCAATGTGAGCACCTTTTTTTTAGTTAATATCCCAAAGAAGTGGTGATTAAATTGCATTTTAAAACTGCAGTTTAAAATGTGTTAAAGGAATGATATGTTGTGCTTCATTTGTGTACGGTGTGTCCAGATGCATTCTATTGTCATGTATAACTAATTAGAACAAATTAAAAAAACCCTAAAAAGTGTTAAAGGGCCCTTGCCCTATAGTATGTATTTATATGGTGAAGAATCCTTCATTTACCACAATACTTAATCCAGTCACCTTAATTTCTGTAATTGCAAGACTGTTGATAGCATGGGAAGCACTTCGAAGCAGATGGTCTGGTTTTGGAGTACTTTCAGTGCAAGTTTAGTCACCTCTGCTCCAGCGCTTGGTCCTCCATCAGTGTGGGCTCCTGCCAGGTACTGGCACAAAGATGCATACGGGAGAATAAGTAGGTAGTCCTTAGTCACATACTAAAACTAAGGACATCCAGCAGTATGTTCTAGGTGTCTGAGGAAGAGGGACATGGGCGCCTCGGGGGAACGACGTGTACCTTTGTCCTGGAGGATGGGTAGAGCTTGGGCAGGTGAGATGGGTAGAATAGGGCCACATACGTCACATTTAGATAAAGAAGAGGAGGTGGACAAAGCCAGGTCCAGGGATGCAGGAGCTCCCTTCAGAGCGAAGGCTGGCCTTGTCCCAGTGGCAGAAGTGGCCTGCCGAGCCGGCCATGTCCAAGTGTCTGTGGTGCAGGGTGGACACTGAGGCAGGCCACACTTCCTCTGCCCTTCCTCTGATGGAGGTGGACACGTGCTCCACTGCAGCACTCATGTTTCTATCAGAAATATGTGGCTGTGGTCTGCAGAAGACCCTGTGCCACAAGTGCATAGCTCATCCTTGATCTAAGAAGTGACTCGTGGGCTGAGTCACTGAGGGGCTGCAGGGAAGGCCTTGTATGGTCCCCAGCAGGGGCTGGTGGTGTTAACTCAGTGCTTGAGAAGCCACATTTGTGGGCATCAGATGGGGTATTCAAGTGATGAGTAGATCCATGAAGATGGCGAGGGACCCTTCAGAGTGGGGATTCCGCTAGGCCTCCCTTCCACCTTGGAGCTGCTGTTAGGTCCCTCCAGGAGCTGGGAGTCACAGCTAAGCATCCACACCTAGTAGCCATGTCACCTTGAGCCCCGTTTTCCCTGCTGCAGGGTGGGCCTAAAAACGCCTGCCTTCTGCTGTTGGGCTGGGCCTGGCCTGTGAATCACCAGTGTCATGGCGGTTGTGGTGCTTTCCTTGAAATGCACTGATTCAGTGACTTGCGCATCTCCTGGAGTTTGCTGGCATTGACTGAGTGTTTGTTGGCTTTTCGAGGCTGGGACCTAGGTTGGTTGCAGTCTGCAGCGAGTGCCGTGACCCTGTCTCCGCTGTCCCCCAGGTGTTCACACGAGAGTGCATGAGCCACTACCTGAGAGCGTTCAACTTCCTCTGGAGGGCCAAGCGCATGGAGTACATCCTCACCGACATCCGGAAGGGACACATGTGCAACGCCAAGCTCCTGAGGAGCATGCCGGGTAGGCCCTGTGGGGTGGCCGTGTGGGCATGTGCCTGCCCCCAGCCGCACTGGCTGGTTTCTAGCGACTCCCTGGAAACGGAAGTCTATCTGAAGTAGTCCAGCTGGAGGGAGCCACTGTTGTCCTCTGTAGTGTTTAGTGAAAGGGCTTGCTCGTAACATGAGTTATCTGGACATCGGTACAAGTGAGCAAAGTGAGTCATACTGTTACTTTTTCAGATCATAAAAAATATATTTTTAAAAAATCACATTTGTTTTTCACTGGTTGTCAACTGTTACCTAATTAAACACTTTAACTATATTGGTAGGCAATTTTGTGGGGGGTTGGGGTGGCATTGAACCCACTCTGCCACTGAGCCACATCCCTAGCTCTTTAATTTTTTATTTTGAGACAGACTCTTATTAAGTTGTTGAGGCTGGTCTGGAACTTTAAATGCTCCTGACTCAGTCTCCCAAGTAGCTGGGATCACATGTGTGCTCCACTGTGCCGAAACAGTGGCGGTTTTAAGGAAGGAAAGCCATTTAACAAGTCATCGACTCATTTAAAATTCACTTAGTGTCTTATTTATGTTCTCTTGTGGAATTTATTTAGTGCATTATTTTTCCATAAACCAGGACATGGAAACGTTTACAGAAAAAATGTGAGGCGTCAGTCACGTTGTTCTACTGTCACGAACCTTGAATGACTTCAGTTGCTAATACTTGGGAAATCTTTGCTTTGAAATTGATTTGGCAAGAACCTTTGAGAAATTATTTTAGTCAATACATAGCTCTAAAGAAAACTAAAGTGAATAAGCCCTTGGGTTGGTGAAAAGCAGTTATTAAAAATAAAAAAGGAATTGAAGATCTCTGTGTCTCTGCTAGACTCTAGAGTCCCAGACAGTGACGCCTGGGCAGGCTGCAGGCAGCGGGGACCTGCCTGGCCAGGGTCTCCCTGGGCGCCTGAAGCTGCTGTGGAGAAGGGCTCGTGGTGGGTCCTCAGAGTAGCTGAGGAGGGGTAGGGTTCCAGAGATGGCCCTGGACACAGGCCCTGCTTGTGTCCTGTGTGCCCCGGGGTGCAGTTGCACCGGGCAGTTCCACAGGTAGCACTGCCACTGTTGTCGCTGGCTCTTCCTGCGTTCCCTGCAGTTCTGCTGTCCTCCTCCTCCACTCTTGTCAGTAGGATCAAGGAGTGGGTTCTCGGCCGCCCACCGACCAGCCAGCGTCTTGCTGTGGATTTAGATGGACCCAGTCGTGCAGAGACTTTGTCCCTGTGGTGCTCTTCCTCATCGGTATCAGCATCTTGGGTGCTTTGGTTTTAGGGATCTGAGCTCCAGAGCACCTTTAGGTGCTGATGGTGGGGATCGCATTTTTCTCACCATTGCAAATAATCAACAGTGTTTCTTTTTTTTTTTTAATATTTACTTTTTAGTTTTAGGTGGACACAATATCTTTATTTTATTTTTGTGTGGTGCTGAGGATCAGACCCAGTGCCTCATGCGTGCTAGGCGAGCCCTCTACCACTGAGCTGCAACCCCAGACCCATGTTTTGTTCTTCACTAGGAGACAAGTAATAAATCTTCTGGTCTATTTTCTCTGTTCGTGAATATGCACCTTTGGTGTCTGTCCAGTTAGTAACTGTACATGAGTGGGTCTTACCGTGATGAGCTTGACTCTCGCTTCTCTCGCCGGTCCTTTCCTTTTGTCAGTGAACTTGTTCCAGAACCTTCTGACCACAGCATTGTGTTGCCTTGGCTGCACTGTTGTTTTATCACTGCGGACTCACAGGTGTGGGCTCCAGCTCCACTTTTGTGTACTGCACTTGGCACTTGTGTTCCAGCCGTAGGGCACACGGTCAGGCTGCTTTTGGGAGCCTTGTGCCGTTTAGGTCACATCCCCACGAGCCCAGCTCTCACTCTGTGGAAGGTGTTGGTATTGCTGTTTCTGCTGACGATTGGATCTTACATTCAAGTGAATTAGGTTTTTGATAAGTCAAAGTTCATTTTAAATGTTTAATGCTTTTAAAATTACTGATGAGGGTGAACACTTTGTTTTTTCCTATTTGTCTTTCTTTTTCCAAAAAATTATTTATTGCCCATGTTCCTTTTGGTGGGGATTAATGTGCTTATGTTAGATTTTGAGAAGTATTTTGAAGTTGGTTGTGGCAAGCGTCTTCATGAGCAGAAGTTAACTGTGGTGATATAGATGTGTCTATCCCCTGCAACCCTGAGGCTAGTGCACATGGGGCCCCTGAGGTGCTCCTGAGAGCTGCCCGTGGTGGTCCTCAGTGTGGAGGGTGGCGTTGCTCCAGCGAGCGTTCAGTGGCTCTCGTCAGGACCCGGCCCGGCCCCATCATGCCAGTGGGCAGTTCAGGGGAAGTCCATCTGCTCCGGACTGGAGGCTTTTTTTTGTTTTTGTTTTTTGGGCAAAGAGAATAAACCAGGGCAATTTACCACTGAGACACATCCCAGCCCTTTTTTGGTTTTTATCTTGAGACCGGGCCTCACTCGGTTGCCATGCTGGCCTGGAACTTGCCATCCTCCTGCCTCAGTCTCTCGAGTGACTCCCTGGAATTACAGATGTGTGTCATTGCACCTGGCAGGGACAGGGTGTGGTGCTCTGCCAGGAGGACCGTACCTGTTTCAATTTAAGATTGTTTTCCCTGGATGGCAGAATTTTTATCTATTTGCCCTTCAGCTGTATAACACAGTTCCACTAAATGGTTTGTTAGCTTCAGCTAACCCAAAAGATACTGCTACCTGTGGCACTGAATTCGGGTTGTGCCGTGTTTCGTGAGGAAGTGAACAGTGTAGGCAAGTGAGCTCGTGGTCTCCCCCAGCCCTCTGTGTGGGGAAGGAGAGCTGAGGCTCCATCTGCTCAGAAGAGCATGTCGAAGTGGTCACTGCCGGTCCTGTTGAAATGGCATGCCCCTGATCTCGAGTAGGAGGGGAAGACTTCGTTCCTCCTCGTGAAGAGTTGTAAGGGCTGTAGGTGAGACTGATTCAGAAATTACCTCTCCCTTTGTTTTGAGATGTATTCGTTCATACAAAAACAAAAAGGTTAGACACTGAATATTTAGAGAACCATAGAGAATGTCAGTTCTCTACAATGGATAGGGATGGGGAGAACATTGGTTAGTGGGAGTTTATTGCTTACTTTTTAATATTAAGATAATATAATCTTACTAGCTTAGAAGAAATGTAAATGATAATTGTTTTAAAATCAGTTTGTGTACTAAACACCAGTTTATCCCCTGCGTGAGTGATAATAAATGGTATTGACTTCTCCTCGTTTCCAATGCCGCTGAGTGAGACAGTGCTCCCAGCACAGATGGTGTCGGGGCGTGGCCGTGTCTGACTGCTGACCTTGTCTGCCACGGAGGGAGCCCTCCAAGGGCAGCTCTGAACACTGGCCAGGTTCAGTTCTCCCAGCAGAGCCCACAGAGGTCTCCTAGTCAACGACTGTTTCCACTGGGGACGGGAAGTGGCTGGTTCAAGAGCATGTAGTTACACGTCTGTGCTCAGGATTGACTCTCAAGTTTGCTTGAAAATAAAAATGGAAATCTTAGCAAGAAAATGAATAAAAAATTAGTTAATATGAATGGAAGCTGTGAGAAGTGGCCTGATGTTTGGATTGAATGTTGGATATGAGATGCTTTTAGAATTGTCCGGAGGGCTAGGCTGGGCATCTGGTAGTGGCTCTGGATGTTCAGGAAGGGGTGGCCCTTGTGGGGCTCTGCCCTATTCTCCAGGTGCTTGTCCCAGGGTGCTGTCTCTCCCAAGCTGCAGGCCTCGCTGCCTGTACAGGGCTTCCAGAGATGCCTGGGCCTCAGAGGGCTGCAGTGCAAGGTGGGTGTCTCAAGCCGGCACCTGCATCTCATGCGGGTTCAGCTGGGCGGAGGAACCGAGCCTCACCTGATGCTGAACGCGGAGGTCCTGGAAGGTGCAGCACACGTTGGTCTAGTCTCTGTGCCTCAGGAGGCTAGAGTGTGTGCCCGGCCAGCTGTCCCCGGCCACTGTCCTGCTGTGCCTCTTCCTCACCTGCACCGCTGCTGGCTCTCCTCACACTTCTTCTCTGGGTTGCACCTGTGCTCCACAGCAAATGGCAGCAAGGGTGACAGTAGCCACAGTGAAGCGGGGAGAAGTTGGGTGACCCGACGGTGTTGAAAGCTCAGGGCGAGCCAAGGCCTTGTTGCTTGGGTGACTTTTTTGGTTCACCTTTTACTTATTTTTATCACTTGTAAGGTGGCATTATTTTCAGGTCACGATTTCTCAGAACGTATCTGAAGTGCCTTCTGCTGCCCATGAGGTGGTGCATGGCCTCGCCGCAGCTGTTCCTGGTGCACTGTGGTGAAGTGCGTCTTGTGGACTGAAGCAGCCAGCCACAGTTGCAGCCCCTTGCCCCTGAGAAGAGTGGCTGTGGGCGTGTTGAGTGGACAGTACTGTGTTTGCACAGGAAGCCTGAGCTTAGCCAAGCAGTAACCACTGTGGGAAGAGGGGCCAAAATTCCTCTGTTCCATGTTGAAAGCAAAGGACTATGCACAAGTGGCAGGTGCTGGTGTTGGGGAGGGGGTCGTCAGGTGCTCTGGTGTCCAGTGCCACGGCCCGGTCGTCAGCACCATCTAGTCCGCATGGTGGCTGCTTTCTTTCTGGAGACACTAATAGTGGTGCGTCTCATGCAGATAGCACTGAGCCTTGGTGAGACGGGGTCTGAAAAGATGAGTGAAAGTTTTCCTCTTTGAAATTTCTTTGCATTTGTTTTTGTGTGTGAATGAGTCCTCAGATTTGTAATTACATAAACCTGGACTACTTCTGTGTGCCTGACTCAGGCTTAGGCACCAGCACCAACCTGGGGCTGCCTGGCCCTGGCCAGCCATCTCCCCGCAACCTGCCAGTTCCCTGGCTGTGTGGTCTCACTCCCCCTGGGAGTGGGTGATGATAACATGACTGCCTAGCCTTCTCAGGATCACGTCTGCACACGAGTCCTTGGGACAGCACCTGGCTGTGAGAGCGTTACGCGTGT